ACCACTGTCTACTGCAAAAGATTGTTCCAGAACTGATGGCTGCACTAATCTATGGGCTTGCAGATAAGTATTTAGAAGGCAATGACATTATGCCCATCTAGTGAAACAACAACAGCCCATGACCTTTCAGTCCGTGGGTTTTTGACCAAGAGTACAGTACTGGACTTAATTTCCTCATGTGAAGGTCTCATATCCAATCAGAGAGTGACTGGTTACCTCCATAATGGCCATTCCACTAATGTACCAGTGAGTACATCTAGCCTGAGGGAGGTCAGCAATGCAGCATGCAGAGTTCGTAGCTGAGTAAGACTGATTTAAAAATTTCCAACAGCCTGCATAGCACTTTCCAGCACAATGAGCTAGCCACCAGGGAGGAAGCTTCCAGCTTAGTTCCAACTTGATTTTTTCTATATTGTTCCTTGATTTCTCTGTGTTGTCCTCGGCAGTAGGGTCTTACCATCTAGTTCTGGTGGGCAACCAGCAGCAGTGGCAATAGTGTGAATTGTTTTGGAGATTTCTGGGACCTCCTGACCAGTAATAACCCACAAGGAGGTAGACCAACCTTGACAATGAGATTTCATTTAATAATCTTATGGCTTTGGGGAGAGGCTTTATCAACCCAGGCAAGTCTCAAACACACTATGTCACTAAGGCTGACCTTGAATTGAGCTTCTGATCCTTCTGTCTCTACTACCTACATGTTGGGCTTATAGGCATTTTCTACTACATCTCCATGCACACTACCACATTGTATATGAGAAACTTAAGTGTCCTGTGTAGGTCCTAGGACAGTGGTTCTCAACCTCCTTAATTCTGTGACTCTTAACCATACAATTATTTGTTGCTACTTCATCACTGTAAGCTTGTTAGTTATGAATTGTAATGTAAATATCTGATGTGATACCACAATGAGAACCACTGTTCTAGAATCAATGCCCCAGGATTGGCTAACTGTATGATTGGGTATTAGATAGAGGATTTCTTTCCGATTGCTACAGGAAAGTCCTTGTTATTTATTTTACATTTTTGTTTACTTCTGTGCTCATGTGGGATCATCCTAGTGTCATGGTGTACATGTAGAGGTCAAAGGACAACTGAAGGGGGTTGATTATCTCCTTCTACCTGTGGGTCTTGGAGATCAAACCTGGGTGGTCAGGCCAGGCAGCAAGAACCATTATCTGCTGAACTAAAGAAATCTTTATAGAAAATCCAGAAAAGGGCTGAACAGATCAGGCAATTGTTTGTAGTGAGATATCCACCCCACCCACACCTGTTGTACTGACCACACCCATTGGGGCATGGGGACAGGAGTCTCTAGGTCTTTGTTCTGACTTCTGGGTAGGAGACAAAGGATCCAAGGACATCCATGGAGCAGGAACCTGCAGCAGTCTGTTTCTTGTCTAAGTAAATTCTCCCCAATAAACCTCAATCAGCCTGTATTGTGTTCCAGAATTTTATTACCTGTGTTAGACAATAGTTAAGAGAACTTGCTGCTCTTGCAGAGGACCTGGGATCAGTTGCCAATACCCACATGGCACCTTACAACCTCTATAATCCCAATTTCAGGGGGTTCAAGGTCCTCTTTTAGTCCCTTTGAGCACCAGACACGTGCAGGCACTCATATATATTCATAAAATCAAAGCAAATTAATATTCAAAAGCCAGGAAAGCACTTGATACAGATTATGGGGGAAGTGATTGAAAGAATAAAGGGATGGTGTGAATAATGAAAGCAGTAGGTAGTGTGTATTGTTTTATTCTCTTTCCCATTCCATTTACCACCTTACAAATACATGTTTATCTACTTACGACCATCATTTGGATTCTCAGTTTTACTTTCAGGGTGCTCCTGCATATTTTAATCTTGAAATAGTTCTTTCTTACTAGGTAGGCCCAAAGGTACCAAAAAAAAAAAAAAAAAAAAAAAAAAAAAGAGGAATAATATAGAAATGATAACTAGTAACTCAAGTTTGTGGGAGGTGAGAACCCTCAGTTGGCTTTATCTCAGAAGGCTTCCTGAGTGACTCAGAGTTGAGAATCATCCAGAAGGGAGGATTGTTGATGGGCCTACATTAAGAGAAAAATAAAGCAGGAATTTAAATAAAAAGTCTTTGGAATCTCTTGTTTTGTATATTTTTTTAAGAGTGCTTCTCCCTAAATACTTCATATTAAAAAACAAAACAAAACAAAACAACAAAAACCCTGGGCCTAGCAGGGCACTGGTGGCACACACCTTTAATCCTAGCACTTGGGAGGCAGAGACAAGTGGATGTATATGAGTTGGATGCCAACCAGGTCTATAGAGCTAGTTCTAGGACAGCCAGGGCTACACAGAAAAACCTTGTTGTAAATCACTCACTCACTCACACACACACACACACACACACACACACACACACACACACACGCACACACACGCACACACGCACACACACACACAAAACCACACACACACGGAGGCTTATTACTTCTTAGGAGTGCCCAGCCTTAGCTTGGCTTGTTTCTAGCCAGCTTTTCTTAAATTACCTGTCTTTCACCTCTGGGCTTTTACCTTTCTTTATTTCTGTACATCTTTTCTTTCCTTCTTACTCTGTGGCTTACTATATAGCTAGGTGTCTGGCTTGATGTCCTCCTCCTTCTTTTGCTCCTTGATCTTTCTTGCTTCCCAATCCCCCTTTTTCTCCTTCTACTTAATCTCTCTGCCTGCCAGGCCCTTATCCCCCTTCTCCTGCCTTGCAATTGGCAGTTCAGCTCCTTACTAGACCAATCAGGTGTTTTAGACAGGCAAAGTAACACAGCTTCACAGAGTTAAACAAATGCAACATAAAATATTGCAACACATCTTCGCATCATGAAACTAATGTTCCAAAGCATAAACCAATGTAACACATCTTAATATTCTACAACACCTTGTCTCAAAAAAAAAAAAAAAAAAAAAAAAAAATCAAAAAGAAAAAAGAAAGAAAACAAAGAGAAAAAAAATCTAAACAAATGGGCCCTCATGTTTACTGTAAACTGTCCACTATTCTATGATTCTTCCTGTATTAAACCATTTAATTCTTTCAATAATGCTGTGAGCTTAGCCTCATTTCTTAGATAAAGAATTTGTTGTAGGTCATAGAAGTAGAATTTGAAGCCAGGTATTCAGGCTTTAGAATCCAAGATGACTTCATGTTGTTAGATAAAGGGAACCATTAATACAGGAGATGTACAGCCAGGAAGATAAGGAGTTTAAGGTCATCCTTGACTATATAGTAGAACTTGTCCAAATAAATAAATTCTGTAACTTCTTTAGACTTCCTTATTCTGCAAACAAACTATGGTACCAGTATGTGTGTATGTGTGTGTATTTGAGACAAGGTCTCATTATGTAGTTCTGGCCTGAAACTTATGTAGAGCAAGCTGGCCTTGAACTCAAAGAACTCCATCTGCCTCTGCCTCCTGAATGCTGGGATTAAAACTGGCTGTGGTGGCATTTTAATATGATAGATGAAGGCAGTTATCTCTGACTTTATTATCTATTGCATAATTCTTTGACTTTCCAACAACTACCATAGCCATTTTGTAATTATGGCTGACCTCAGCCTTTTTTTTTTTTTTTCCTTTAAAAAACCTAACATAGATTTGTTAGCTAAAAACACCTCTCTCTCCCCCCTCTCACACACAGAGGCACACACACACACACAAGAAAAAAAATAAACATACCATGTAGTTTATTCATAATATCATTAACCAGCTGCCTCGGTTATAAGTCTGCTTTAAAACAAAACCGAACCTGGAGATTTAAACTTTTTTTTTTTTAAATTATCTTGTGTGGAGGGTGGAGAGATGGCTCAGTAATTACTGACGGGACTCAAAGACCTCGAATGATGGCACACAAAGTCCTGTAAGCCCAGTTTCAGATCTTTCTGATGCCCTTCTCTGACCTTCACCCACAGGGGATCCCCCTGCCCCAATGCAGGCAAACATTCATACACATAAACAAAGACATATTTAAAATGAAGTTTAAGTTTTGTTTTGCTCTGTATCTGTGGGAACAAGTGTGAAGGTCAGAGAACAACAAATGGGAGTTGGTTATCTGCTTCCACTGGGTGGGGTCCCAGGGATAGAATTTAGGTGTTAGGGTTATGTTTCCAAGCCACTACAGAGGCTTTAAGGGTTAATGATCATCCAAGATAAACATTAGTTTAGATAAACAAAGTTAAGCTTTCCAGCTTTAAGAAATATGGAATATGGAAACTGGCCTGGAGGCAGGCAGATTTGAGTTCGAGGCCAGTCTTGTCTACAGAGCAGATTCCAGGTAAGCCAAGGCTACACAGTGAAACCCTGTGTTGAAAAACAAAACAAACAACCAAAACCATTCAAACAAACAAAAAAAGGAATATGGATATACCTTACTGCTGTGTGCTACTTTGGTGTTCAAGACTTGATGGAAATATTCAGGAGTGGCTGATACACTCTCATTTATCACCAGGTCACAAGAGCTGTCATATCTAGCAATTATTTTCATTTCCTTACACTCAATTGAGCATATACCACTTCCAAATCGCAGGGGATTGAGATACTGGAGTAGGTATTCTGCTGGGCCCTGGAACTTTCATCCCCCCATTATATAAACTGTACAAAAGCAAGAAAGGCAGACATCTAGAGACTGTCACTGGTTACACCTACCAGAGCAACATGAAAACAGACTAGGCGTGGAACCCAGGGCATGTGGGTGTGGCTCAGTAGTAGGGCGTTTGCCTAGCAGAACAAGTGGAATTATTTGCTATAATGGATGAATTTCTAAGCTAAAGCGTACACAATCTAGCTCACATCTGCTCTTAATAGCCTCGTCCAGAACCACTCCCTGCAGCTTTCGCGCCTTGCCTTCCCCGGCACACCCTTTGTAGGGTTCACACGTCTCCACTCCGGACATCAGTCTCTGTACCTAAAGCGGGCTTCGAGGGAGGATAGGCACAGGGGAGGAGACAGGAAAATAGAGATTGCCAATTCGTCCTTAACTCGAGCCCCTCGCGGGTCTCACCCCTGCCGTGGAGGCTGAGATTGGAGAGGAAGTGGGGAGGCTTCACTCAGTTCCTCACTCCCGCGCCCTCATGCCCCCACCCTTCCCTGCACCGAGATACTGCGCTCCCGGTCCCCTCCCGACGCCTCCGGAGGGGAGCGGCCGACGCCAGCGCGCTCGCGGGATAAAGCGGAGATCTGCCGGCAGCTGGAGCCCACCAGACAGGTCGTCCGCGTCCTCAGCACGCAGCGAGCTGCCCAGCCCCGAAGCAGACCCCAGGGTAGCCCCGGGGAGCGCTGTGGCCGGATGCGCGGCTGCGTCACTTCCGGGCGGTGCAGCGGCGGCGGCTTGGAAGATGGCTGCGCCCTGTGGCTCGGAGCTGCCCGCCAACTCGCCGCTCAAAATTCCGAAGATGGAGGTGCTTTCCCCGGCTTCTCCTGGAGACCTGAGCGACGGGAACCCATCACTGTCCGACCCTTCCACGCCGCGGGGAGCCTCCCCTCTCGGGCCGGGCAGCGCGGCGGGCTCGGGGACCGCGGCGTCCGGGGGTCTCGGGCTGGGGCTGGGGGGCCGCAGCGCTGCCTCGTCCTCGGTCTCCTTCTCGCCCGGCGGCGGCGGCGGTGGCGGGGCTGCGGCGGCCGCTGCCGCCGCCTGCCGGGGCATGTCGTGGACGCCGGCAGAGACTAACGCGCTCATCGCTGTGTGGGGCAACGAGCGGCTGGTGGAGGCGCGGTACCAGCAGCTGGAGGGAGCCGGCACGGTATTCGGCAGCAAGGCCCCCGGGCCGGCCATGTACGAGCGCGTGTCCCGGGCCCTGGCCGAGCTGGGCTACGAACGGACCCCGTCCCAGTGCCGGGAGCGCATCAAGGTAACCGGCCGCCCTGCCCGGGACAGCGAACCAGAGGCTGAGAAGGCGGGGAAGCGAGCCTGGGGGCGGGGGCCGGGCCGAGCACGGGGCTCCCCTCCCGGCCCCGGGTACCCCTCTCGTCTCCTCCGCCTCTTTCTTCTCTCGCTGGGAAGGGACGCTTCTTTCCAGATGGCCGCCAGCCCGTAGGTTTCCTGAGTTTGAAGTTGGGCGTGTCTGCCGCCGCCCCTCTTTCTTGCCAATTGAGGATGTTCCTGCGCTCTGAAGTTGGTAGTTTCTTATTGTGCGCGGGGCCGCACTGTCGCCGGTGCTGTAGCCCTTACTGCTTTGTTCCCAGGTAGAGGGGCTCTTCAGGCTGAAGCTGTCCAGTTGGGATGGGATTGATGAGGGGCAGCCTGGGCCCGAAGAATGCCCAGTGTAAGATTGTTCAGTAAGTGATGGAATTTTAAGAAAGAGCCTTGGGACAGCTGGCCTTTTGTGTCAGTCGCATTGCTTGTCATTTGAGGTGGTAAGGACTAGCAAGATTTGAGATGCTTTTTAAAGAATTGGAAAGGCTTAAAGACAGGCTGTGTATTGTTATCGTGGAGGTAGAGGACACCTTGAATGTTACTCTGGCTGAGGGTTGCATTGGTATTTGGATTGGCGATCTCTTCAAAGTTAGCTTGGCTTGAGAGGCTTCTATTTCTGAGGAAGCCCTTTCTTGACACCCAGTTTTTACTGCTTTAGTAACGGTGCCGGATGCTGACAAGTAAAACAGTGTGCATCTGGCCATCCTTGTGCACCTGCATGTTTAAATGCGGAGGCTTAATGTGGGCTAAATTTTACCATCAGCCCTCTTATCGCTTTGCTGTTTCTTTGATTTGTCTAGGCGTTCATATCTGTCTTTGCAGACAAGAAGCTGTGTTTTAGTTACATTCCTTTCCTCATTCTACGGTCTGCTAAAAGTTTCTCCCAGTTCTCATTGAAAACATTTATAGTACTTATAGTATTCATTTCTGATAGTTCAGGCATTTTTTCCTGGGGAATGAAAACCCGCCTAAAAGAGTCATAACAGAGAAGAATCAGATTAGCAAACAACCATAGAACCCAATGAGAACAGTTTAAGAGTAGTCATACTGAATTGGGGAGATTGTGCCAGAGTTCATGAAGTCTTGGCTGCTGTGATGTTCATTGGAAGACATTGTTACTTAGAAAACTTGGTCTAGAATTGGCTATTTCATTATTACCAACTGTTCAAGGAATTTGGGACCCATTAGAAAGTTAAGTTACATTATTTGATAATGTACATTTGAGGATTCATATTGAACTCCGTTAAACAAGAATGCCATTGAAATAATATGTAATAGTGAAAAACCGTTGTTCTTCGTATTTCATTCATTGCTCTCTATTCAGGGTCATTCTTATTAAGTCTGGGGCAGTTTCTTTGCACTGCTGTGAATAGCATCTGTCCACAAACTTTTCTGGAGTTCAGAGACTGCCTTGGGCATTTGTAAACTATACCTGTTTTCTTGATTTTTATTCATAGGACTTTCAAAGTGTACTATCAAAACCTTGCTGAATATAAATCTCTCCATAAAATTGTTTCTCAAACAACCAGGGAATATCTAGTTGGAATGCTTCATTGTCCAGTTATGAGAAGGAAATCTAAAGCAAAGAAAGGAGATTGAGCCTCTGAAGAATTTAGAGGATCAGTTTACCTGTTTTCAGACAGGTAAGACCAAGTTGACCTCAAACTTTTAGTGTTTTGAGATTCTGAGATGATGGTTCTCTGATACACTGCAGCAATTAACAGACAAGGCGGGCTGATAAATGATTTGTAAAGTGCTTCGATATAAATGGTTTGGATCAAGGAACTCAGAGTCTTTTGTTAATGTTGCTATTCTCTGCCAGAATTAAAGATTCTTTAAGGACAAGCTCTGATCTGTGTCTTGTCCACCAATACACCACCACACAGTAGACATTGAATGCTTCGTTTACCAAATGAAGTGTAGAAAGAATTTTGGAAGGCTTTTTTGTTTTGTTTTGTTTCTGTGATAAAACACTGTCCAAAACCAATGTGGGGAGGAAAGGGTTTGTTTTATTATCTGGCTTACAGGTTACAGTCCATTATTTAGGGAAGCCTGGTATCTTGGTTACTTTTTTAAATTGCTGTGAAGAGACACCATGACCAAGACAATTTGGGGGGCTTGCTTACCGTTTCAGAGGATGAGTTCAGGACCATCATGGCGGCAGGCAGGCATGCATGGCACTGGAACAGTAGCTAAGAGCTTACATCGATCCTCAAGAAGGCAGAGAGAAATGGCCTGGCTGGGCGTTTGAAACCTTACACCTCATCCCCAGTGACACACCTTAATCCTTTCCATAATAGTTGCACCAACTAGGGACCAAGCATTGAAATACATGTGCCTTTGGGGGCCATTTTCATTTAAACAACCACACCAGGGCAGGAGTTCAAGGAAGGAATATGTAGGCAGGAGCTGAATTAGAGAAACACTGCTTACTGGGTTGCTTTCCCTGGCTTGCTCAGCTTACCTTTTTTAATAGCCCAGGCACAGACCTTGCCAGGAATGGCACCACCTATAGTGGGCGGGTCTCTTCTACATCAATTAGCAACTAAGAAATGCCTTACAGATTACAACTAGTCTGATGGAGGCATTTTTTCACTTTAGGTACCTTCTCAGGTATGTCTAGGTTTGTGTCAATTTGATAAAAACTGACTGAATGTATAAAAGTTTATAGCAGTGTTATTAAAGTTAAAAATACAGGTTTTGGAGCCAAATTTGAAAAAATATTGCACCTAAGTTAAGCTTCAAAGGGCTGAGGCTTTATAGCTCTGTGGTAGAGTGCTTCCCTGTTTTTTACAAGGCCTTGGAGTCAATCTCCAACACTGTGGACAAATACCAAAACAAAACTGTTAATACATCCCCAAGCTTTGTCCCTTTAGAAAACTGTAAATTTGATCTTAAGCACAGAAGCAAATGTAGTCAATGAAATCAATAATTTTGAGATAGCTGACCAGGAAATGGAGATCGTACTTAGGAACTTAAGTTCTTGGAGTTTGACTTAAAGACAAATCTTTGGGTTCCAGCTTTTAGAAATGTCATCTTAGAACAATTAATTTGAAAACTTCTTGTTACTATTGTGTTGATGACAAATGCAGAAAGAAATACTGAGGGCTGGAGATATCTCAGGGCTTCAAAGTGTTTGCAGCACTGGAGTTTGTTCCTTTTGGCCTCTGTGGGCACTCACACACATGGAATGATAGTGTACACACACACACACACACTCACACTCACACACAGAGAGAGAAGCATGCATTTATGCACATAAATAAATCTGGAAAAAAAACCCCCAAGAAATCCAGTCAGTAATACAAAATAAATAAAGAGAACCAGGGAATTAAAAAAAATATTTATTTTATCTTTTTTGGAGGGTAGGGTGGGGTAGGGTGGGGAGTGTTTTTGAGACAGGGTTTCTCTGTGTAGCTCTGGCTTTCCTGGAACTTGCTCTGTGGACCAGGCTAGCTTTGAAACCAGAGATCCACTTGCCTCTGCCTCCAAAGTGCTGGGATTAACGACTTTCACCATCACCACACAGCTATTTATAATATTTGAGTGTTTTGCCTGCATATGTGTGTGTACACCTCCATGTGTGTGCCTGGTGCCTGCAGAGGTTAGATTGAGGGCATTGGATACCTGGAACTGGAGTTATGGGTGGTTGTAAACTATGAAGTGGGTGGGTGCTGGGAGACGAACCCTGGGTTCTTAGCAAAAGCAAGTGCCCATTACCATTGAGCTATCTCTCCAGCCCCCAAACCAGGAAATTCTTGCATACAGTAATATAGCTTTTTAAAAATGTAAGCCCAGGGCTAGGGTGTTAGAGCTTGTGCTTAGTATGAGGAATTGCCCTGGGTTCCATTCTCAACATTGCAGAGCAAACAAAACACCTTAACAGGATGTAGGCAATGCAGTAATTACTTTTCGGTCCGATGTTCCCTTGTGGTGTTCTCAATAAACTATTCTTTCTTAATAATAGGTTTGTAGGGAGAAAGAATACCATGTAAATAAGTTAATATTTCCTTTGTAATATGTTTGAAGTTCCTGTAAGTAGTTATGTAAAGTCAGGAAAGAGGATGGAGATGTTAAGAAGAGTACTGTTCTTCAGCACCTACATTCCAGGGGATCTGATTTCCTCTTCTAACTTCTAGGGGCACAGACATACATGCAGACAAAACACCCGTACATATTAAAGGGTGTGGAGTGTATTTAGAGATTGGATATCAGTAACATTTTTTTTATTTTTCTTGAGACAGGGTTTCATGTAGCCTAGGCTGGCTTGATAGGTAGTTGAAGCTGACCTTGAATTTCTGATCCTTCTGCTTCTCTACTTTGTGAGTGTTGGGATTATAGGACTGTGCCACCATGCCCATCTCTAGTAAATAATTTCTTGATTTGAAAAGGGATGAATAATAATCAGTTTTCCATTTAGATAATCCATCCCTCTCTTCTTTTCCTCCCCTCCCTCCCTCTCTCCCTCCTTTTTTTTGTGTTTTTTTTTTTTTTTTTTTTTTTTTTTTTTTTTGAGACTGGGTCTTACTATATATATAGCCTTGGCTGACTTGGAACTCACTCTGTAGACCAGGCTGGTCTCAGATTTACAGAGAACCAGATCCACCTGCCTCTGCCTCCCCAGTGCTGGGATTAAAGGTGTGTGGTGCTACTGCCTGGCCCCATTTAGATAATTTCTAATATGGAGCAGCCTTCCTCATAAGAAAGCATGGGAATTCTGACTCCTCTCCTAGTCCCTTGCCCAACTACTTTAAGTATATTACTTCTCTGGAGTGTTTTTGTTATTTATACAATGAAAGTGTTAAGATTATAAATACTAATAACTTTTAGATTTTGTTCCTGAAGTTCAACTTTTTAATATTGTTCAAGTGACTATATTTCTAAGCTTACAGTATTTTTAATTGAAGGTCAGATATAGATATTGTTTAGAGTTGT